TCTGTTAACAGTATTAAGTGGTATACTTTTCTCTCTGTTCATTATGTTAATTTTTGAGAGCTTGATATTGAAACTCCAACTAAAAATATTAATTTATCTACTTTAAAAGATAGTTGTAATATATAGTGAAACTAGAGATCTCTTCAAGCAAATTGGAGATCAAGGGAACGTTTCATGTAAAGATGGGCACGATAAAGGATAGAAGCAGTAAGGACCTAACAGAAGCAGAAGAGATTAAGAAGAGGTGGCAAGAATATACAGAACTGTACAAAAGGTCTTAATGACCCAGATAACCACGATGGTGTGATCACTCACCTAGAGCCAGACATCCTGGAATGCGAAGTCAAGTGGGCCTTAGGAAGCATCACTACAAACAATGCTAGTGGAGGTGGTGGAATTCCAGCTGAGCTATTTCAAATCCTAAAAGATGATGCCCTTAAAGTGCTGTACTCAATATGTCACCAAATTTGGAAAACTCAGCAGTGGCCAGAGGACTGGAAAAGGTCCGTTTTCATTCCGATCCCAAAGAAAGGCAATGCCAAAGAACGTTCAACCTCTCGTACAGTTGTGCTCATTTCACATGCTCATTATGCTCAAAATCCTTCAAACTAGCCTTCAGCAGCATGTGGACCGAGAACTTTGAGATGTACAGGCTGGATTTAGAAAAGGCAGAGGAACCAGAGATCAAATGGTCAGCATTCATTGGATTATGGAGAAAACAAGGGAATACCAGAAAAATATCTACTTCTGCTTCATTGACTACATCAAAGCCTTTGACTGTGTGGATCACAACAAACTGTGAAAAATTCTTAAAGAGAGGGGAATACCGGACCTTACCTGCCTCCTGAGAAACCAGTATGCAGGTCAAGAGGCAACAGTTAGAACCAAACATGAAACAACGGACTGACTGCCTCCAGTTTGTTCTCCCAACAAAGTGAACTTTTAAAGAGAGATATCTGGTCATTTTACTCCCCTGTTTAGCACCCTTCAGGATTCCCCATCACCCAGGATGAAACCCAAGTCCCTTAAGAAGCCTGCAGGGCGCCTGTGAGACGGGTTCCGTCTGACCCCTCAGCATCCTTATCTTCCAATCCTGAGTGCACACACACATTCACTCACTTAGCCACACCCACAGCATTCAAACCACACCCCGCTCAGCTCCTCCCCCACCTCAGGGCCTTTGCACCTGCTGTCCCCAAGCGGGTACCACTCCCCCTCTTGTCTCCAGGGCGTGGCCTCCCTGGAGCTAAGCCCGGTCTCCTTCCCGGGGTCTGCACTGCCCTGGTGCTTTTCCAGCATGACACTTACACCCTGTGTTGACGTCATCATGTTGCTCTCTGCCTTTCCCCGAGACTGCAAGCTCTTTGAGGGCAGGACAGCGTCTCTCCTGCTCCCACCCTTCTTCCCTGACGTCCCGGAGTAGAGCAGGTGCTCAGGATACTTGTTGAGTGATAAAGAGACGAGAACCATGGATCCACTCTGCCTTTCCTCCGTCTGTGGTGGTTGCTGGGCCCCCAGGTGCAGTGACAGCAGAAACCGTCGATCGCTCCCTGGATGGGGTGGTGGGTTCTCCGCACTTCCAGTGAGTTTGCAGAACCGATATCTGAACAATTCCCATTGTGCACCAGTTTATGGAATGACTCATGTTGATGGTGGCCGTCCCGCCGGTTGGGACTGAGCCAATTGAGCGAGAATTAATTACAGATGAGAAGCCAGCTTGCAAAGCCATTAATATTTCAGCTCCCTGGAGTGTGATGCAAACGCAGCCTTGTCTTTGCTTGTCCTTCCCACTCCCTCTCCCCGCTTCGGTGTACTTGGTCTGCATGTCAGGGTGACCCAGTTCAGGTCTTGGCTCCCCCATGATTCACTCTCCTTTTCTGTTAAATGAGGGCCCTGCCATCCATCCATCTGCAGGCCTTATGAAACTCCTCTGTTGATAATGCACGCTCTGCTGGACTTCAGAAGATGGGAGGGCCCTGTTCTGAAGATGTCTTATCTCAAACAGAACCAGGGCTTCCCCGGTGGCGCAGTGGATGAGAGTCAAGTGCATGGGGACATAGGTTCGATCACTGGTCCGGGAGGATCCCGGATGCTGCAGAGTGACAGCTCGTGGGCCTGAGCACATGCTCTGCAACGAGAGAACTCACCGCAGGGAGAAGCCGGAGCACTCCCTGCAACTAGAGAAAGCCCTCAGGCAGCCACGGAGACCCAGTGCGGCCACAAATAAAGTACTTTAAAAAATAAAGCAGAAGCATTGCTGCTGTGGGAGTAGCGCTTTACAGTTTACAAAGCAGTTTTAAATATCAGGATGAGCCTCTCAGGAGCCTCACGCTGTGTATACTTGGTGGCACTGTCATCCCCATTTTACAGGTGAGAAAACTGAGGCTCGGATAGCTTGGCAGTTTGCCTGTGATCACTTCTGGGGTAGCTGAGCTGGAACCTGCCCAGAGCCGATGAGGGAGTGTATTAAAATCCGCTGTCAACCAGCTGCCAGGCAGGAGGGGCAATCGGCTGTGTCGGCATGTTTTCTCTCTTTCTCTGGGATGCCAGGGCTGAGATGTCCCTTGGAGAGCAGGGATATCAAACCAGTCAGTCCTAAAGGAAATCAGCCCTGAATGCTCATTGGAAGGACTGATGCGGAAGCTCCAATTCTTTGGCCCCCTGATGCGAAGAGCTGACTCACTGGGAAAGACATTGATGCTGGGAAAGACTGAAGGCAGGAGGAGAAGGGGGGAACAGAGGGTGAGATGGTTGGACGGCATCACTGACTCAGTGGGCATGAGTTTGAGCAAACTCTGGGGGATGGTGAAGCCTGGCGTGCTTCGGTCCATGGGGTCACAGAGACACACGACTGAGCTACTCAACAGGGCTTGGGGGTCCCTGTGGGGCTGGAGGCTGGCTCCTAAAATACACAGAGACCCGGAAGGAAGGGGTGGGTGGGTCCTCCCGCACCAGGTCAGCAGAGAGACCTCCCCTCCAGGTTCAGAACGACCCCGGGGTCCCAGAGCCGGCTCTGGGCGGAACTAAGAATTCAGAGCCACCGCCCTCTGCCTGCCGACCCCACCCAGCTGGCCTCTCCCTGTCACTCATACTTCCTCCACCCCCGGGACTGGCTTTCAGGAAAGGCTCTGGCTGCTCAGGTACAATGGAATTCGGTTTCTAATTATGGCTCAAGCATGTGGCCTCCACTTAAGGACACACATGCTCTCTGCCCAGAGGACTCTGGGTCTCTGACCTGAGTGATGGGGTGGTGAGCTTCTTGGCACTGCAGGCCAGGGTGACCGCCCTCCTGGCGGCCCCCTTGCCGGTGCTGTTAGGAGGTCAGCTCGGGACAGGGTGGGGCGTTGAGCAAGTGGAGACGTCTGCAGCCTCATACCTGCCATCCCGCCTGGAGCACGGTGGCCTCCTTGCCGATGTTCTGGGCTGGCCAGAGAGTCTCCCTGGGTCTCCGCCGCACTCCCGCCTGCTCCTGTGATCTGTCTCACTCGGTCCATCCATGCCCCTTCCTCTGCCTTCTCTTTTCCCTTTCTTTCCCTCTCCTCTGCTCCCTCTCTCAGCCCCATCCCACCTCCCTGCCTCTTGGGCACTCAGCCTTTTCAGATATCTATGAAAAACTTCCCTAACAGGGACAGCTGTTCACCGATGGGATTAACCGTCTTGCCCACTAATGAGTTCCCCGTCAGGGAGGCAGTTGAAAAAGGCAGGGTGGTTGTCCTTCCTGAATGCGGACAAGGCGGCCTGACCTTCTGGATTTGGGCTAAACCAGTACTTTGGCCACCTGATGCGAAGGGCTGACTCATCTGGAAAGACCCCGATGTTGGGAAAGATTGAGGACAGGAGGAGAAGGGGGGTGACAGAAGATGAGACGATTAGATAGCATCACTGACTCAATGGGCATGAATATGAGCGAACTCTGGGATGGTGCTAGTGGTAAAGAATCCGCCTGCCGATGCAGGTAGATGTAGGAGATGTGGGTTTGATCCCTGGGTTGGGAAGATCCCCCGGAGGATGGCACGGCAACCCACTCCAGTATTCTTGCCTGGAGAATCCCATGGACAGAGGATTCCTGGGCTACGGTCCATAGGGTCGCAAAGAGTCAGACGTAGCTTAGCACCTGAACAAAAACTGCATGGCCGGACCATGACTTTTGATGCTGAGGTTCACCTGATGTTCGTTGCTTCATGATTCAAGGTGGCTTCAGGATATTCCGTGTATTTATAACTCTGCAGTGCTGAGCCTCATGTAAGGACGTGTGTATTTGAGGATCAGATATTTTTGTTGTGAGAAAGAAGTCTTAGATTCTTTATAATGTTAGTGTTCATTAAATTTAATTTTTAAAGTACCTAATCGTTTCACAGACATTTTAGAAAACAGACAAGAAGAGGGAAAATAATCGATTCCTAATTCCATACCCCCAACACTATTTCTGTTGATATTTCATCCCATTTCCTTTCAGCTTTTTCCTTTGTTCATTTTTCACACAGCTGTGTTGTGGTGGGAAGGCAGCTTTTTCTTGATTTCTTAGCCTTACGTGTGGAGGTTTCTACATAGTCACCATCTTCACTGTTTTTACACCCGGGAGCGGATGCCTGTGGTTTCTTTAGACTTTGTTGTGAAAGAGCAGCCCATGAACATCTTTAAAGATGGATAATTGTAAAGCAAGAGCTGCATAATATTTCTTCAGAGAAGGAATTACCCCACTTCTTACCCGTTTCGTAAAAGAACAGGGTACACCCAAGTTCCCAGAAGGAAGGGGAGGAATGAACAAGCCTTAGACCTGCTCCATGCCAGGAGCTTGTGGGTGCTCCTTGGGCATCCGTTACCTGTGATCACCAGGAGTATGCTGTCACCCCTGGTTCACAGGGTCTGAGACCGTGGCAGGAGGTCCCTGGAGTCAGCACGGAGTCAGGACTCCAGAGCCGTGAGCCGGTTGCCAGGGGGCCTGGGTTCAATCAGCCCTGTGGGCGTGCGCATCAGTAACAGGCCTCTCCGGGTTTCAGGATTTCCACGGAGCGGTCGTGAGGGCCTTGGATGAGACGGACTACGAGGGCAAGGACCCGGTGGCCCGGGAGGAGCTGCGACGTGGCCTGAGTGAGCTCCCGGCCATCCGCGACCTTCACCAGGGGATCCTGGAGGAGCTGGAGGAGAGGCTGGCACAATGGTGAGCGGCCCCGCGCCCCCGCCCCCACCCCGTTGCCACAGGGAATGCTGGAGGGGGCGGGTACCCCCCACACCTGAAGCGGGGTCTCCATCCGACGGGCGGGAGAGCAGAGACACGGGGGTGTCTGGTCCCTCGCCCGCCGCGGGAGAGTCCACCCAGGGTCCACCACCTGGGATCCTCACCGTCACGGGGGCCACGAGGCTGAGTTCTTGGGGTCCCATTCCCCTCTCCTTGACTGCAGGGAAGGCCAACAGAAGGTGGCTGACGTCTTCCTGGCCCGGGAGCAGGAGTTTGAGCACCACGCCGCTCACATCCTGCAGTTCGACAGGTACCTGAGTCTGCTCAGTGAGAACTGCCTCCACGCCCCGCGGCTGGCAGCGGCCGTCCGAGAATTTGAGGTGGGTCCCTTGGTCTTCCCAGGAACCCGCTCTCAGAATGTAGGGGTGGAGGCGGGCATGGAACGGCTTCATGCCAATCAGGGGAAGGTCAGACCTGGGTGGGTGGGGAAGAGAGGGTGACCCAGCAGAAAGGAAAAGCCAGAATATCCTGCCTTGGGCCACCACTGACAACTCCGAGAGCACCAGCCACGGGGAGGGTTTTAGCAGCTGTTCTGTCCCGGGAGAGGAACACAAAGCAAGTCGGGGCCCTAAAGCCTTTGGAGTGAGCAACAAATGGCCACCAGCTGAGGATCCAGTAACCTGCTAGCTTCGTGGACTTTTCTCTACCGCTCACGGGGGCTGGGAGAGACTATTGCTGAGTGTAGCAGTGTGTGAGCCTGAAGGAATGAGCCGCCAGAGTGGGACAGAGCTAATCTGAGAGGACTTCCTGGAGGAGGGGACCCTGGTTTGGGAGATGGCTCGGCCCGGCCAGGAGAAGGCCCGGCTGGGACATGTGTGGCTGGGCTCACGTGGAATGCCGTGAGCCCGGAGCCGGGGGCAGGGGTCCCTGATGGAGTTTTGTTGTTCTGGTCTCTTGGGAGCAGCAGAGTCAGCAGGGAGGCGGCCAGAACGTGAAGCACCAGCTGCTGCGGGTGGTGCGGCGCCTGTTCCAGTATCAAGTGCTCCTCACAGGTGGGCCCTCGGGAGGGCAGGTGCAGGGGCCCGGTGGGGAGAGGGGAGGGGAGGCACCTGCGGAGCGGCGGGGGAGACCGGCCAGGTGTGCATGATGGCGACCTTGCCTCCCACTGTGGCTGGAAGGGGTGGGGAGGGTCCCTCAGTCCTGCCCCCCGCCCCTGTGAAGGTGCCAGGCGCCCAGCCCACCCCCTTCCTCTCGCTGAGCTCTGGACCCCCGCGGCCACATGGAAACTTGCTTGAGTGCCCGGCTGCTGCGTCTCGCTGCAGCCTCTCCCAGCCAAACACACAGCAACTCGCATCTTGCCCTGATCTGCATTTCCTCCCTGGCTTCTGTGGGTCTCGTTTCCCTAAATCTGTTCTTATCGCCAGCGCCCTCCTGAGTCAGCGGATGTTTTCCCCTCGGACCTGCTGGCCCTCTCTGTGGCTTTGTCACTGACCACTTCCTGCTTCTCGAAGCCCTTTCCTCCTGGGCTTCTGTGATACACGCTCTCCCCGCCTCCTTCCGACCTCTTTGACCCTTCACTCTCCTCCTGGTGACTCCAGGAATGTCAGTGTTCTTGGGTCTCAGCCCCAGGTCCTCTTTGCTTCCTCCTCTACCAGCTGTCCCCTGGGAATGTCATCCCCTCCCCGACCTCTGCCTGCCAGAAACACCCTGACCTCTGTCCTGAGCAACTGCCCCCCAAGTGGACAGAGAGCCCCTGGCCCAGGAGCTGATGCTCTGGGAGAAATGGAACTGCACCCGTAGACATATGCGCGTAACTCCAGAAAGCGATCAAGCTGTAAGAAAAGACATTCAGGCCAGGAGATGGAGGATTTGTTCATCTAATTCAGCCAGCATTTATTCAGCACCTACTGTGTAGTGGACTCTGCGCTAGAAACTGAGGAGGCAGAAGTGAATTAAACAGCCAGAGTCTGTGACACTATAAGCTTATACTCAAACAAGCTAGCAAGGAATTAGGAGTATATATTATGTCCATGGTAAGAGCTCTGAGGAAACTGAAGGCAGATTAAGTATACTCAGGGGAACAGCCTGCTGTATTAGATCCAGGCCTCATATAAGATTTGTCCGAGGAGGTAACGTTGAACAGCGATCTCAGTGAAGTGAGGACACGAGCCGTCCGAAAGGAGAGCGTACCAAGTGGAAGAAGCTGTGAGTGCAGAGGTCCTGGGGTCTGAGCAGACGTGGCACGTTTAATAAGTACAAGAATGCCGACCCTGCCCGAGTGAGCGAGTGGCGTGGACAGGTCGCTCGAGTGAGACCAGCTTGTGTCGAGCAGTTGTGGGTGTGAATGTGTTCAGGGGTCTCGCACGTCACACTCTACCGGGTGGGGGTCACATCTGTGTCCCCCTCAGCAGACTGTGTGACTCTCCCGGCCTCACACGGCAGCAGGCACACGGCAGGCGCTCAATCAGCGTCTGTGGATGAATGAATGAATGAACGACCAGCCGTGGCGGGCGCCTCACCGGTGGTGATGCTGAGGGCTCGGCTTCGTGCCGGTCCCAGTGTGTTCCTACAGTCGGACTGACCGGAGAGAGGCGGTTCCCCTCGTCCTTCTGGAAGTCTTCCTCCGTCCCTGGAGACGGAGGGTCTCCTGCTGTGGGCTCCGAGGGCAGGCCTCACCAGGGCAAACTGACTCCCAGCTCTTGTTCTGTCCGCAGACTATTTAAATAACCTTTGCCCGGACTCGGCGGAGTATGATGACACGCAGGGTGAGTCTGCTCGTGAACCTGGAGGGAGCGGAACTTCGGGCCCCCCGTCCCCGGCTCTGGACTCCACCCCAGTTCCCGGCCTGTTGAGTGACATCCCCTTCATCTCCACCGTGGGGACTCCCCGGGGGGCGGGCTAACATCCAGTCAGAGGCGGTGACCAGAGTTTGGTGATAGGAGGGGGCACCGGCTCTAAAAAACCCCCTAGACTCTTGATTCCCTCCCCGTTCTGTGTGGCCATCACTGCATAACTTGCCAGGGCAGTCTCTATGTTGACACGCTCCATGTGCAGCCAGGGAAACTGAGGCATGGAGGAGTCACACTGCTCTCAAGGGCACTTAGGCAGTAGCGGCCAAGCTGGGGTTGGGCCAGTGCCCTCACCCAGCCGTGGGAAGGATTGGCGCTACACCCTTGCGCGGCCCTGCAAGGGGACCTCCGGGGCAGGAGGCGAGCAGGTGGCGGCTAGCCTGGTGCTGCCCAGGAGGTCCAGTGCTCTCTGCTTCTCTCCACAGGTGCGCTGACCCTCATCTCCAAGGTCACGGACCGTGCCAACGACAGCATGGAGCAAGGCGTAAGTCTGGCCCCGGGCACCTTCTGTGGGTGCAGGCGCCAGGAGCCCCTCCACCCTGCCCAGGACTGCCTTGTGATGCCCCCGCTTCTTGGTGGGGGGATGCAGGCCATCGTGTGTCTCACGGGACCCTGCCAAGAGCCGTGGTTTCTGGCCCTGACACTTGCTGTGACTTCAGGTCCTGTGTGTCGCTCTCTGAGTCTGCAGCTCCCTGTTTATTTGAACAGTGAGGAGGGCTGCAGACTTGCACAGACCGGATAAGTAGCATCCAGACCCTGGTCTGAGAGCATCTACAACAGCACCTGGAGTGCTCTGTAAACTACAGATTCCTGGACATGCCTTCCAATCTTGCCAGCTGGAACTTCTGGGGTAGGGTTCAGAGATAGGCAGTTTTAACAAGCACCCCAGGTAAATGTCTGGCCCACGAAAGTTTGAGAGCTGCTCATGCACGGGACCACGTGAGCTCTGGGCACACGCCTGATTCTGACGGTGTGTAGCTTCATTCGGGAGACACTGATCAGATCTTTACTGGGTGTCTGTCTGGGACGGTCAGCTTTATCCCACCTTCCAACTCTGTTCCAGTGGTTTCCGTGGTTAGTGGTGTCTACATTTTTTTTCTGCTCCTTTACGCTGTAAATAAGCTAGAGCTGTGTGTTGGGAATGATTCTGAAGCTGAGTCCTGGCTCGGTGGGGAAAGTTCAGTGATCGATTAGTGATGTCTGACACAGGCAGAGGTGGGAGTGATGGTGGTATGTGTGCCAAGCTGTTGCTCGGCTTTGCTGTGACAGATGCACAGAGCATCCTTATAGCGAGTCATTCACAGGTAGAAAAAGGGGAAGGGAAGTAACATCTCTTGGACCCCTGCTGTATGTCAGGTCTTGGGTTGGGATCTGGAGATACAAAGATAAAACCATGAGTCCTGGCCCTTGAGGAAATCACCACTTAGCAGAGCATTCAACACATGGACACGAAGCATCATGATAAACATCATGAGAGAAGTTTCAGAGTAAGGTTTCATCTCTCCCCTGGGGATGCTGAGACACGATGATACAGGAGGTGCCCCTACAGGAAGGACTGTACGCATGCCACGAAGGCAGAGGGGTCAAGGTGACCCCGGAGGAGTGCCTGGATACAGGTGTGAAGACGGGAGAGTGTTGGTGTGTCAGAGCACTGGGTCACCCAGCGAGGCTGGAGGATGGGACCAGTGTAGGCGCAGCTGGAAAAGAGTTTGGGGGGAGAGGTCAGGGTAGCTGATGGAGGAGTCTGCAAGCTTGGAGGCTGAAGTCAGCAGGGTGGGAAATCTGGTGGGTCATCGGTCCCTCCCCCCACCCCCCACCCCCACCGTCCGGGGGCTCCCTGCTCTTTGGCATTTTGTGTAGACAGTGAGATTTCCCTCAGTGTAGCCAAAATACTGGAGAAGGAAATGGCAGCCCACTCCAGTGTTCTTGCCTGGAGAATCCCAGGGATGGCGGAGCCTGGCGGGCTGCCGTCTATGGGGTCGCACAGAGTCGGACACGACAGACGTGACTTAGCAGCAGCAGCAGCAGTCAAAATACCGAGGCGCTTTGGAGTACATGTAACACATATAGCAGCAGATATAGCAGCAGATGGACTGGGGGGCTCCAGACATCCTGTTGGGGGGATGTCTCTTCTTCCGAAAAGAAAAACCAGGTCAGGAAGGGCCACGTCTTCCCTCCCACGCTGAGCTGTCATGATTAGACTAAGTTTATAGTTTGGGCTTCCCAGGTGGCACTAGTGGTAAAGAACCCGTCTGCCAGAGCAGAAGACGTAAGAGACGCAGGCTCGATCCCTGGGTTGGGAAGATCCCCTGGAGAAGGGAATGGCAACCCACTTCAGTATTCTTGCCTGGAGAATCCCATGGACAGGAACCTAGCAGGCCACAGTCCGTGGGGTTGCAAAGAGTCGGACACAACTGAAGTGACTATGCACGCATGCATGCATAGTTTATAGTTTAGGGGGGAAAAGATCACAGAAAACACTACTTTCTTAATATCAAATGAAGGTCACACACTGGCAACATGACGTATGACTGTTGATGTGAACCGTGATTACCTGGTCAAGGTTGTGCTGGTTGGATTTCTACATGTAAAGCTCCACCCTCACCTGCCGGTCCATACTGGTTGGAGGAAAGTCTCCGTGCACAGCCCACATGTAAGGAATGGGGAATTATGCTCCCTCCCCTTGAGGAAAGAGTGTCTACCTAAATTATTAGGGAATCTTCTGCACGGGAGATTGGCCTCTTCTCCCTTGTTTATTAATGTATTCACTAGTTCTAAATTAATTTATATCTAAATTATTTATTTCTCACATTGTCGCAGCTTTGGCCATTAGGAGCTGGCCAGTTGGTTCCTGTGTCCCTTTCACATGCTCCCATCAATGTGGGTTTGGGGGGAGATTTTTATTTTGCTTACTTCCTGGCACTACGAGATGCTCCAGATGCTCCATGTTGCATGTTTCCTGCCCCAGTCCTAGAATCAGCTATTTCTCCAGAGAGCCTTGGTTTGTTTAATTGGATAATGATATTAGAAACCAGGATGTGGGCACGGTTTGTTCACTGGTGCTGGGGTGTCATTTCTTCTGATTCTGTCAGCTACAGAGCAAAGACATATATGTGTATATACTGTGTATATACTTATATGTATAGCTGTTTCTGTACGTAGCCATTTGTATTAAGCTAAATATGAGTTCTTACTTTGTCTTCAACTCCACTTGTTACGAGGTGGATCATTCCAGCCTCCTCCCCTGGCTTCTCTGTAAATTTCCTCTCCAAGAGGAGTGTTAGAGTGGAAACCTGGCTCCTAGCATCCAACATCCATTTCTTTAATTGACCAGTTTATCTTCCTTTTTGAAAAATGTTTTTCCTGGGTATAGAAATCTGGGTTGACCAGAACTTTCTTTCAGTAATCTACAGATGCCACTCCACTGTCTTATGTCCTGCCTAGTTTCAGAAAAGAAATCTGCTTCTGTGTTTATATTTACCTTCTTTGTGTGATGGGTCCTGTTCTTACTGGCTGCCTTCAAGATCTTCTCTTTACCCTTGACTTTAAGAAGTTTGACTATGATGTCTAAATATGTGTGTTGTGGAGAAGTCGTGGCATTTATCCTGTTGTGATTCTCAAGCTTCCTGGATGTGCTTTTTATCCATTAATGTTGGAAAATTTTCTTGGGTGCTCTGTTCTTTCCTCTGCCCCCCACGCTGCACTCTTATTTTCTCTTTTTGTTTCAGTGTGGTGAATCTCAGCTTGAAAAGAAAGTGAAAGTGAAAGCTGCTCAATCTTGTCCGACTCTTTGCGACCCCGTGGACTATACAGTCCGTTGAATTCTCCAGGCCAGAATACTGGAGTGGGTAGCCATGCCCTCCTCCAGGGGATCGACCCGACCCAGGGGTCAAACCCAGGTCTCCCACATGGCAGGCAGATTCTTTACCAGCTGAGCCACAAGGGAAGCCCTCCCCAAGTTCATCCATTCTTTCCTGAGCTGTGTTCGATTTGCTGCCGAGCTTGTCATAGGAACTCTTCATTTCTGATGACACGTTTCTTCTTGTTCACGTTTCCATCTCTTGTCTGTTTCCGTCTCTCCTGAAACCCCCTCTGTTCTTGCATGCCGTCTGTCTTTTCCGGTGGCTCCTTTAACATAATTAATCAAAGTTATTGTGATGTCCCTGTCTGATGGCTCCAACGTCTGTGTCACCTCACGTTCTGGTTTTCTGGAACACTTTATGTCTTGACAGTGGGTTAGGGTACTTCCTTGCTTCGTGTGTTTCCCGTATCTGATTGAACAGCAGCTATGTGCAGAAGATCTGTAGACTCTGAGGGAAATAGCATCTACCTTTAAAAGTGGACATGTTTCTTTTTCTACTCATGCCAGTCACGTCAAGGCTGAGAACTGAATCAGTGCAGTCAGCAGTTGAGCTGGGTTTAGGTTTTGTCGTCAGTCACCTTCAGACCCTGCAGACTGCATGCTCCCCCAGAAGGTGGCTGCTGCCACTTGCTGCTGTGCGGGACCCGAGGGTCCGGGGCTTTCCCCCAGAAGGTGGCTGCTGTCACTTGCTCTGTGCGGGACCCGAGGGTCCGGGGCTTTCCCTGCTGTGTCTTCAGCTTTCTGCAGTCTCTGCGTCCTTCACCTCCTCGGGCCTAGACCACTGCGTCCTGGTACGCAGGGCTCGTGGGTCACGGCTCCCGCGGACAAGCCTTGGTCTTAAGGAGGCCCTGTGAGCCTGGCTCTCTCTCCGCGTCCCTGCCCCTCCTTCACGGGCAGCCGGCCTCTGCTGTGTGTCAGTGGCGGGTCTTGGGCAGGTTTCTGCTTTGTGTTGGCACGTGATCCTGCACCTGAGAGGTCACCCACCTCTTCTTGGAACCGGTACCTCTTGCTGCTTCTGCCCTGGCCTCGGAAGCCGTGGGCTCTTTGCCCCAGGGCCTGGGAGTGGGAGGGTTGCCCCACCTCCCGCCGTGGTGGAGGCTTTCATAGCAGAGGGGGCCCTGGGGAAGTGGGCTGGGTTTCGTGCCAGCCCCACAGTTGGCAGCCTGCACCCCTCCGGCACCAAGAGGGGATTCTCTGCTCCCACTCTTCCTTGTAAGCACCGGGCAGAAATTCCTGGAAAGAGCTTGCAAGGGGTTCCACGTGCCCCGTGGGGCTCCCTGTATTCTAAAACCGTCCCAGCGGCCCACACCTGACCTTTAAGAAGCCATTAACATTTTAGCTGCTTTCTTCTCAGCCTTCTTTATGCCGACCACCTCCTCCCTGTGTGTTGCCAGAGGCGCGATAACTCATTCATCTCGTGTCCTCGGTGGGGTCCTGGGGACCCCAGCTCTCCAATAAACATAAGCAGAACTCTGCTTTTGTAGATGATGTGATTCTTTTTTTTTTCTCCCTGTTAGGGTGGGGGCATTGTTTCCTTGCAGCTCCTAAGTCATAACCAGAGGTAGAATAACTTGTACACATTTTCTGATGGGTAGGATTTTATGCCCTAAACTGAGCCTGATGCTAGGAAAGATTGAAGGAAGGAGGAGAAGGAGTGACAGAGCATGAGATGGTTGGGTGGTATCATCGACTCAAGCATGAGTTTGTGCAAACTCTGGGAGATGGTGAAGGACAGGGAAGCCTGGCGTGCTACAGTCTGTGGGGTCTCAAAGAGTCGGACACTACTGAGTGACTAAACTGAACTGGGGACAGTGTCGAGGCCTTTTCAAGGCATTTTGTCTGCACACAGTTTTCACCGTGTTCGTTGACTTAAACCCAACCCTGCGTGAGGTTCAGAGTCATCTGCCCTTCCAGTACTCCTGGCCACTGTGACAGGGGAGGGGCCCAGTACCCAGTACATGTTGTGAATTCCTAGTGAGCTCCTGGGCACACATGTTTCTTCAGGGAGCCCAGAGCATTTCTTCCACAGGGGCTGCGTTTTCTCGGTCACTCTGTCTCAGTAACCCAGCTCTCCACCAAAGGCTTTAAGCCCACAGAGCCAGTCTGGCCTGAGGCTTCTGTCCCTTGTGGGTTATTGCGATCTGGATGCTCCAGGTGTTACGGGGGACACAGGCTACAGTAGGAGCAGTGGCCCCCAGATAAACGGATATCGGACGGCACACTGAGGCCAAGTGACCACCTCCACAGCGTGCAGACAGAGGGCGGGGTCACACCCCAGGCCCGCAGGGACTAGGCAGATTGCCGGGAGTCCACACAGGTGGCATCCCCCGGACCCAGGCTCTGCTCCCGGTCCCACCAGCGACAGGAAGTCGGACTGGGAGCAGGTCCCTCCAGGACTGCGTTTCCTCCTCCGCAGTGGAAGCAGGGCTGCTCCTTAAAGAGGGGATGAGGGGCCCTGACCATCTCCCTCTCGCCCCACTCCCGCCCGCAGGAAAACCTTCAGAAGCTGGTCCACATCGAGCACAGTGTTCGGGGCCAAGGGGATCTCCTCCAGCCAGGAAGGGTGAGTGCTTCCATCGAGGAGGGCGCTGGCAGGCAGGTGGGCGAGGCCCTGATAAGCCCCATTGTTCAGCCGGGCTGGCCCCAGACAGGCCTGGCCGCAGGTGCCCGTAGGCAGGGAGGGAGGGGGGCAGGGGGAGGGCAGGGCGGGAGGGCAAGGGCACTGCTGGGCTCCGCAGGCCTCTGGCTGTCTCCCCTAGGGCTTTCTGCTCTCGGGGCCTTTAAAAAGCAGTGCCATTGGGGTTCCATGTGCCTCTCAGAAGAAGAGACACTGGCATCCTCAGTTTAGTCCAGTTGCTGGGAAATCTGGGAAACCATCTCTCAGGAACCCCAACATTTTTTTAAAAGACAGATTTACCCACTTTTAAGCTTCCAAATGGAAAACACAAAACTCAGCTTAAGAGCAGTAAAAAAAAATGTGTTCATGACCTATTCCAGTCCATGAAGGACAAGAAACCAAGGAGAGATGATACTTAGGTGTAAAATCCCATCTAGCGTTTTGGCAGGAGTCCTCAGTTTAGTGACTACGTATTAGACATCGGTTTGTAGCCTCCAGAATCGAGGGGGCTGTAGCAACTGTTCGCAGGTCTTCAGCCTCTTTAGCAAACTGGTGTCTCAGAGGCTCTGTTCTCCTTGGACGCCCGTGGCCGCAAACTAGGGACCGAGTCACTGCTGGGACCACTCTGGGGCTGGCACGCCGTCTGGGTTGGTGTGGTTCAAAGAGGGTGCTCCTGAACGGCCAGACGCCTCTCTCCCGGGCTGCCCCACCACGCGTGGAGCACGGCTTCTGCGCAGGGGCGTCTGCCATGAGCCACTTTCCCGAGCTCTGGGAGGCACCGCAATTGGTTTCCCACTGAAGGGCCTCCGCCCAGCCTTCTCCAGGACAGAGCGGGGGGTATCAGCCTGACCACCGGGGTCTGCTTCTCTGCTCACAGGAGTTTCTGAAGGAAGGGACACTGATGAAGGTAACAGGGAAGAACAGACGCCCCCGGCACCTGTTTCTGGTAAGTACCCAGCCCCTGGTTAAGCCCGGACTGCGGGTTCTGTGAAGCGTTTGGGGGCCGTTACCCGAGGACAGCAGGAAGGCCGTGGAGACCAGAGCCGAGGGCGAGGATTGTCCAGAGGAGACAGGCGTCCCCGAAAGCGGAGGGCTTTCTAGCCTCTCCCTCGTGGATTACTTGATTTCAAGGGAATGTTGCGACATGTAATGTCATTATTCATGTGCCCATCCTAAAACCAGGAGGGTCTTAAACTGGGAGTAACTGTTCAGCTGCCTTATCGACATGGGAGCCACCAGAGACCCAGAAATAAGAGTTGACCTGGCCGGCCCTCCCAGCAGGTCGGGGGCGGAGGCCCGAAGGAAGCCGGGGCTCTGACCTGGGCCCGGCCCTGTCTGCACTCTGCGCAGGACGGGCCAGAGGGACGTCCTGGATGGTTTCCCGGCCCAGTCTGGACCACTGGGGCACGTCCAGGCCTGGGGGGTGGGGGGAGTACCAACTCACTGGAAAAGACCCTGATGCTGGGAAAGACTGAGGGCAGGAGGAGAAGGGGACGGCAGAGGATGAGACGGCTGGATGGCATCACCAGCTCGATGGACATGAGTTTGAGCAGGCTCCGGGAGGCGGTGATGGACAGGGAGGCCCGGCGCGCTACAGTCCCTGGGGTCGCAGAGTCAGACACAACTGAGCGACTGAGTGATGGCAGTGGATGCCAAGCTGTAGGCAGCTCTTGGCCCCAGTCCTGAGACCCCCAAGGGGTTTGCCTGTTAGGTTCTTCTCTCTGCCAGAAGTAATTTTTCCCTCTGCTCCTTCACTGTTCACTGTCAGTTTTGGTCTATCAGTTGAGCTTGCCGTTACAGCCTCCTTACACTTTGTCAGAATTGTGTGCAAAGTAAAAGTGGAGAGGCTGTGAGTCAGTGGGTAGGAGTTCTCTCTGTTGAAGCACCTCCTGTCTGCTGGGTGCTGGAACCCAATAGCTAAGAGTCCCTTCTCTGCCCTCCGCCTGCAGTGTCCGGGGTAAAGGTTGAGCTATGAGAGTAGTTCGGGCAGAATCTCGAGGGCAGGGGGGTGTCTGGAAGGAAAGAGGGGGACCCAGAAGAGTCGGGGAATAGGAAGGTGGACGGCATGGTGGCAGCTGGTGTTTGTTGAGTGTTCACCGGCTGCTGTGCCCTATGTTGAGTGTTTGGTGTGTTTTTTTTTTTCCTGGGGAAAACTGTACCCGCGTTAAGTTTGGAAGGAAGGATTGGAGTTTTGTCCGACAGGTGAAGGAAAGGCTTTTCAGGAGCAGGAACAGCAGAAGCAAAGGGTGGAGGCGTGAGGAGCACGCTGTGTCTGGAAAACCTCTGTTGGCCTGGTGGAGTCACGGGAGCAGATGGGCGCTTTTGCTCGCAGGGCTGGCGGCGGGTGGGGTGGTCTCCAACGGACCTCGGATAGACCCTGCCAGCTGGAGGGGTCTGAATTCCAGATTGGCCTCGCGGTCCTGAGCAGGGGAATCGCGAGCCTGGCTGGAAGCGTCTTGTCCGCGGGCGGCCGCCAGGGTTTGCTGAGCCTCTGTGGCCTGTGCCCCGGGGCCTTGGCCCGGCCTCGGCGGTCACTCGGCTCCGTGTAGAGACCAGAGGAGCCGAGTCCAGAGGCTCTTCTCCCCCTGCTTCGTCCTCCCCACCGCCTGTCACCTCCCCTGAGAAGCCCTCACTCTGGCAGTCTGGCGCTGCCGTGCAGGGAGGCCGTGTGGTCCTGGACCACTCACAGAGCCCTGGGTGCTAGTGGCGTTGCCATGGCAGCAGCGGCTCCAGGGGCAGCCGCGGAAAGGCGGGGTCACCGTGGTGACACGGGCGGGTTCCCGGGGGTGGGCGGGGTGTGGCCACCCCCAAGCACACCACCCTGGAGGCACCTTCACTCACTCCTGATCCCGACCCCTCCACGGATGAGCTCTGTAGACCTGGGAGGGGGGTCTAGCCCGTCTGTGGCTCGGTTCCCCCTCTGCCTGCCTGAGGGGACGGTGGGGGCCGAATTGAGATCATCTCTGCCGGGGGCTCAGCCCAGCGCCTGGCCTGGCCAGCGGTTCTCGTCAGTGTTAGAAGAACAGAACTGGACAGGCCTTGGAAGCTTCCTCGCCCGGGGGTCGGCCGGCCGCCTGTTTTGTTCAGGGAGGCCTCTGGGAGTGCAGCCTCATGCGTTCTTCCTTGAGTGTCGCTGGTGCCTGCTTTTGGGACACAACAGCTGAGTCAGGCAGTTGAAGCAGAGACCATCTGGCCTACAAAGACTGAAATATTTACTCTCTTTGTTGTTCAGTTGCTCAGCTGGCTCTGACTCTTTGCAACGCCATGGACTGCAGCATGCCAGGCTTCCCTGTCCTTCGCTATCTCCCAGAATTTGCACAAACTCATGTCCATTGAGTCGATGATGCCGTCCAACCATCTCATCCTCTGTCACCCCCTTCTCCTCCTGCCTTCAATCTTTCCCAGCATCAGGGTCTTTTCCGATGAGTCATTTCTTCGAATCAGGTGGCCAAAGTATTGGAGCTTCAGCTTCAGCATCAGTCCTTCCAATGAATATTCAGTGTGCGTTTCCTTTAGGATGGACTGGTTTGATCTCCTGGCAGTCCAAGGGACTCTCAAGACAGTTTGAAAGCATCAACTCTTCAGTGTTCAGCCTTCTTTATGGTCCAGCTCTCCCATCTGTACATGACTATCTGGCCCTTTACGAAACAGTTTGCCGACCCTGGTCCGTTCCAACTCTGTTCAGACAGCGAGGCCCAGAGAGAGGGAGGGCTTGCCTGAGGCCACACCGCGGCTCAGTGCCCAGGCCAGTCCCACAAGCGCCAGGGTAGCCGGTGGCAGGAAAACTCGCCCATCCCGCCCCCTCTGCAGATGCGGTCTGCGGGGAGAGCAGCACGGAGCCTGAGTTCCCTCTCCCCCTTCAGACCCCATGTTCCTGATCCCCTTTGGTTCCCACGCATGGGGCCTCCCCGGGGCCACTCCCCCTCTCTGCTTGTAGTGAAGTGGAGGTGGGGTGTCCCCCACTTGGCGGGTGGGGTGGCTGAGGCCCCAGGGAGCGAGACAAGCTGTCTCCTGCAGAGCAAGGTCGGGACGGACGGCCCACAGCACCACCTGGAGGACGCCATCGGCTCTTCACGCTGCGCACATAGAAACTCTCTCTGAAAGCAGAGTGCCTTAAGTTTCTGCATGTCTGCCCTGCGTCGGGGCGGCAAGCTTCAGATGTTCGTTCAATAAACCTTAATTGAGCATCAGCTCTGTTGCTGGAGGTGCAGCAGTGAACGGGCTTCCCTGGAGGCTGTAGACAGTAAAGGCTCTAGACATCTTCCTGCAATGCAAGAGACCCGGGTTCCATCCCTGGGTGGGGAAGATCCCCTGGAGGAGGAAATGACAACCCACTCCAGTATTCTTGCCTGGAGAATCCCGTGGACAGAGGAGCCTGGCGGGCTACAGTCCATGGGGTCACAGAGAGTCGGTCGTGACTGTCTAACTTGCAGTGAACAGGACCCGCCGGCTCCCTGTCCCCAAAAATCTTGCCCTTCCCTCCCTCCCTTCCTTAACTCTGCTTGTTAGAGGCTGACTTGATAGAAGGTTCAATGTATCAGTTTTGAGTGTACATGTCGGGGTCTGTCGACAACTCATATCGTCATGTGACCACCACTTGGGTCAAGATACAGAGCATATCCAGCCCCCCGGAAGCTCCCCGGGGCACCTCCCCTCACTGTCCCCCAGGCACCCACTGCCCTTTTTGCCACCAGTGCAGATTAGCTGTTCTGGAGCTTCATATCCATGTTGTGAAGCAGCGTGGACTCCGCAGTCCGGCTTCTTCTCGCTGGCGTGTGTTGGAGGTTGAGCCCTGTCGTCAGGCACGTGTCCGTCTGCTCGCTGGTTGCTTTGTGGCCCCGAGCTGTGAATGTACCGCCATTGCCGTGTCCTGACACCCGCCGATAGATGTTTGGGTTGTCTCCCTTTGGGGCAGTGTTGGATAAGCCTCATACCGACACCCCGTGCCGGACTTGCTGTGGGCATATGTGCGTTTGCTCGTCCATGTCCGTGTGAAATTGTGGAGGAGGGCTCTCCTGTTTCAGCCCAGAGTGCCCTTGCTCCCCTGGTCCCTGGGGATGCGAGATGCTTGTGCTCGGTGGCGCTCCCAGACACGCCCAGCACGGGCTTTCTGGACCCAAGAGATGTCTGACGGGGTCCCCTCTCCCCAGATGAGCGATGTGCTGCTTTACACGTACCCCCAGAAGGATGGGAAGTACCGGCTGAAGAGCGCGTTGGCGGTGGCCAGCATGAAGGTAAGACCCGGGGGCGGGGGCCCTGGGGGCAGCGGTGGGGGCCCTGGGGACGAGGAGACACAGCCCCCCCGTGGAACTCACAGCCCGCGGACGAGGAGGACCCCGGCTTGTGAGTTGCCCTAGGATTCTGTCGTCGGGAGCTCCGGGAGAGTGGGGGTGAGGGAGGGCTGCCCGGAGTGGGTAATGTTTGGATGAATGCAGAAGGGGGACAAGGAAAGGGGTCCTGGGGGGAGGAGAATGCAGAGAGAGGAAGCAAGAAGGCGTTTGTCGATCGTGGTGAAATACACGTAATGTACATTTACCGTTGTACATTTACATTACATGTTTTAAGCGTACAACTGGACGGCATTCACGTCGAGTGCGTTCATGTTGTTACACTACCGTTGTACCAGCCATCCGCAGCACTCTCTTCATCTTTCCAGTCTGGAGCTCTGTGCCCTTAAACGCTTTCATCCCCGCTCTCTCCTCCCCCAGGCGTTGGCAACTACCAGTCCACTCTTTGTCCCTATGAACTCAGCACCCCTAGGGACCTCGCATAAGTGGACTCCTGGGCGACGCTTGTCCTTCTGTGACTGGCTTACTTCCCTTAGCGTAACAGCCTCAGGGTTCATCCATGCGGTAGCAAGTGTCAGAATCTCCTTCCTTTTTAAGGCTGAACAGTGCTCCATCGTGGGTGTAGGCTAGACCACACGTTGTGTACCCATCGTCCATCCGTGGACACTAGAGTGGCCTCCAGCTTTTGGCTGCTGTGAGTAATGTACGCGAGCGTGCAAATGCCTGTTCAAGCGGCAGCTGTTTCTTAAGAGAGGCCGGCTCAGCTGGACGGTCTCATGGGTGAGCTTGGAGAGACAGGACGGTGACCGGGTCAGCTGTGACCTCACTCAGTGTGACCGGGGTCCCAGATACGGGGCTGGTTGGGGCTGATGGGGATTTTCGATGAGCAGGGAGTTTTAGGAAGGTGATTCCCGCCCATCATGGGGACGGGGTCAGAGAGGGGAGCACTGAAGTGGGGAATGGGGTATGTGCGGACTGTCCCTTGGGAGGGCGGAGGACTGGGAGGGAGGAAGAGCTGAAGGGGGCCTGCAGGGGGCTGTCTCCCCTTGAGGCTCCCAACCTGGAGAAGGGCGACCTCGCTAACCTGGGAGGTGTCTTCCCCTTCTGGACCAAAGCGTCCGTCCGCTCAGGAGTCCGACAGCGGCCATGTGGGAGGGTGCCCACTGCACAGTGGGCTCTGAGAAGGGTGCCTTCCTGGGGGTCAGCGGGTGGCCCCAGAGTCAGAGTCAGCAGTGGGGCTCCCACTGTGCACACACGCAGAGACACAAACACACGTGCACACACACAGACACACACCCCATCTTCCAGGTGAGAAAGGTCTGCCCTTCGCAGTGAGGAAGCTCAGGCTTAGAGCTGGGCGGTGGCAGGACCCCTCCCGTGCCCATCCTGAGGGGCCGCTCCTGCTTTCCAGGTCAGCCGCCCTGTGATGGAGAAAGTGCCCTACGCCCTGAAGATCGAGACTCCCGAGTCCTGCCTGACTCTATCTGCCAGGTACAACGAGAGAAAGGACAGGGGGGTTAGGAGGGCAGATTTTTCAGGTGGGAAAGTTTGGAATCGCAGACACTGAATATGTTGTCATTTTTATTTTGGTGTTCTTTTGGGTAAATGACTTCTGTTATTTTTTGTCCGATTTTGGACAGTCATGTGACAAATCTGATAAAACCATGGCTTCTCTCCCCAGAAAACATGAGCATACACATAAAATTTTACATGGAATCTCAGGGGTTTCCAGAGCCCATTGCTTAAATATAACAGTATCTCCTTGGTGTAAAACCCTACGGATCATTGGGTCTTTGCAGCAGTAAGAAAGGTTAAAGCCAGTGAAAAGTGCATGGCGCACCTTAGCTCATAAAATAGTCTGTGTTTAGGCTGCCAGGTCTGGAGAATGAAAGGGACACCAGGGGTGAGCATTCATCAATTTATTTTCCCTTTTACTTTTGTGGGGGTGAGGCCTTTCTATCAGAGATGGCTATTTTTTCCCAGGCCCTCAGGCTCTGCCCCAGGGTCCCGGTTTTGTTGGTTTCTGGCAAAGAAAGAGTCCCCCCACGCTCTTCCAGGACAAGACCAGCTGGAGCTGGGATAGGGGCTCAGGGGGGCTCAGAAACCAGAAAGGGGGCTCCTGCCAGGAGCTGCTCTAGGCACGGCGGCGGGGTCAGAGTGACACCTAGTGGTCTCCATGAGAATTTCCACCCGGCGGCTGCTGGGGGGCATCACCTCTCAGGAGACCCTGCCAGGCCTGGAGGGGAAGGTGGGATGTCTGCGCTCTGAATGAGTGAATGACTAGGAGGGCCTGTGGGAAACTGAGGAGGAAGGCAGGGAGAACGGGATCGTGACCGTGGCCAGCATCTGTGCACTGCCCCCCCAAGTGGTACCTGGCTCTGCCCACCGTCAGCACACCCCTCCAGGAATGTGGGACCCTCCGGGAGTGTGGGACCCTTGCTTCTGCACAGGACTGTGCCATCAGCAGAGTCCTCCACCCGCCACGTGTCAGCCAGTCCGCGCGGCCGCCCTGGGAGTTAGAGGAGTGTTTGGTGTCCCCACGATTACAGGCCAGGCCCAGAGACACCTGACAATTGGGGCCGCCCGCCTGGAAGCAGACATGCCGCCGTGCAAGTCTTGCGGGTGGCCGGGCCGGGGTTTCAGGTGTTGGGGGTGGGGGGCGCGGCGGGGGCCGCGGGACGTGGTCCACCCCGAGAGGGCGCACCCTCGCTCACTCCGGCTTGTGCCTGCAGCTCCTGCGCAGAGAGGGACGAGTGGCACAGCTGCGTGAGCCGGGCCCTGCCCGAGGACTACAAGGCCCAGGCGCTGGCCGCCTTCCAGCACAGCGTGGAGGTGAGCGGGCCTCCCTGCGCCCCCACGCGCCCGCGAGGACGGGCATCTCCTCCCACCAGGGCACCACCGCATCCCCCCCGTGCCCGGCTCAGGGCGGTCCCCGTGCCGCCCAGAGCCTGGCACCTCCGGCCCCGTTTCTAACCGAGGTCGGCGCCCTGGAGGCTGGGGGGGGGGCCGCTGTAGAGTGCAGTACAGCCCGTTCCTCCCGTACACACACACACCCCCCCACAGGACGGGGGGCTCCGGCCCAGCTGGTCTCCTGACCCTGCTGCCTGCCTGACTCCGTTGCTCCAGATACGGGAGAGGCTGGGGGTCAGCCTGGGGGAGAGGCCCCCGACCCTCGTGCCCGTCACGCACGTCATGATGTGCATGAACTGCGGCTGCGATTTCTCCCTCACCCTGAGGCGCCACCACTGCCACGCCTGCGGCAAGGTGAGTCACGGAGATGTGTGCAAGGGGCTGGGGACCCTGGGCAGGCGGAGGGGATGTCCAGCAGCTGCTGTGGGTCGGGCCCAGGCTGGGGCGTGCCTTCCCACCAGGGCTCCAAACCCCAGACCCCTTCCACTCCACCGCGGCGCTCCCCAAAGTAAATGGTAGCGGATGGGGTTGTTGTCCCGGGAGGAAGAGCAGCCGGTCTTGGTTAAGGGCGCAGGCTCATCAGAAAACAGAAAGCTTACAGCTTGGTAATAATAGTCAGCAAAACTGTATTGTAGAGAAACCCCTGGTGGTCCTCTTGCTAAGAGTCCATGCTCCCATGCAGAGGACAGGATTCAGTCTCTGGTCAGGGAACTAGATCCCACAACTAAGACCCAGTGCAGCTAAATAAAAACTAATTAATTTTAAAAACTGTATTGTATATGCGAAAGCTGCCAAGAGAGTAGACCTTTAAAGTTCTTATTGCAGGAAAAAAACCTTGTAAACTATGTGTGGTGATGGATGCTAACTAGACATTGTGGTGTCTAGGATATCCCTCGATATCCATGGGAGACTTGATTCTAGGATCCTAGGGTCCCCGTGGATACCATAATCCAAGGATGCTCACATCCTTTAATAAAATGGTGTAACGTTTGCACCTGACCTACATACATCCTCTAGCATACTTCAGATCATCTCTAGATCGCTTATAATACCTAATAAAATGGAAGTGCTGTGTGAAAAGTGAGAGTCGCTCAGTCATGTCTGACTCTTTTGTGACCCCCTGGACTGTAGCCTGCCAGGTTCCTCTGTCCATGGAATTCTCCAGGCAAGGAATACTGGAGTGGGTAGGCGTTCCCTTTTCCAGGGGATCTTCCCAACCCAGGTATAGAACCCAGGTCTCCCACATTGCAGGTGGATTCTTTTCCAGCTGAGCTACCAGTGCTGTGTAAATAGTTATAAATACAGTGAAAATTCCATGCAAATAGTTGGCAGCACATGACAAATTCACATTTTGCTTTTGAAACTTTGTGGAATTTTTAAAAATCTTTTCGATCCACCACGGGTTGAGTTGAATCTGTGGAAGTGGAACCCGCAGACATGGAGAGCCAACTATATTACATATATTGAATCACTGCATTGTATATCTGAAACTATTAATAATGTAATGTTATATATCACTTCTGTTGGGCTTCCTGGATGGCTCAGCGAATAAAGAATCCGCCTGCATGCAAGAGACACAGGAGATGTGGGTTTAATCCCTGCGTCAGGAGGATCCCCTGGAGGAGGAAGTGGCAACCCACTCCAGTATTCTTGCCTGAAAAATCCCATGGACAGAGGAGCCTGGCGGGCTGCAGTCCATGGGGTTGCAAAGAGTTGGACATGACTGGGCACAAGCATAAGACAAGAAATCACTTCTATAATTTCTTGTATACTATTTTATAATTTTCTATAATTTTTAAAAAGAAAAACAGAAGCACCTACAGAGGAGCATAATAACTCTGCTCTGAGCACGGGGCCCCCAAGGAGGCGGGGGCGGGCCGGAGGGGTCGGACATGGTCCTCTGCTTTGGCCGGGGGATAAGACCCTGTGACCCGCGGCCCCCCGTCCCCCTCAGATCGTCTGCCGGAACTGCTCTCGGAACAAGTACCCTCTGAAGTACCTCAAGGACCGCATGGCCAAGGTGTGTGACGGCTGCTACGGGGAGCTGAAGAAGAGGGGCGGGGACGCCCCAGGCCTGATGAGAGGTACTGCAGACCACCGTCCCCTTCTTCCCCACATGGCTTCTCCCAGCCGCTTTCCCCAGGGGCTGCGGACAAAATGCTTCCCTCCAGGAGGAGACAGGGCTTAAACCCCCTTCTGGGGCACCTTCTCCCCCACCGTTAGTTCTGTAGAAAATCCAGAGGCGCCCCCAGAGGAAGGGTTCCAGAGCAGCTGAGTCTGGGACATGTGTCTGGGTCATGTGTCTGGGACACGTGTCTGGTTTGTGTGTCTGGGACATGTATCTGGGTCATGTGGGACACATGTCTGGGTCATGTGTCTGGGTATGTGTCTGTCTGGGTCATGTGTCTGGGTCATGTGTCTTTCTGGGTTCACATGTCTGGGACATGTGTCTAGGTCCATGTGTCTGGGACACGTGTCTGGATCCATGTGTCTGGGTCCGTGTGTCTGGGTCCATGTGTCTGGGATATGTGTCTGGGTCATGTTGTCTGTCTGGGTTCATATGTCTGGGACATGTGTCTAGGTCCATGTGTCTGGGTTACATGTCTGGGTCATGTGTCTGGGTCCATGTATCTGGGTCATGTATCTGGGACACGTGTCTGGGACATGTGTCTGGGTATGTTTCTGTCTGGGTTCATATGTCTGGGTCATGTGTCTGGGACACATGTCTGGGTCATGTATCTGGGACATGTGTCTGGGTCCATGTGTCTGGGCCATGTGTCTGGGTTCATATGTCAGGGACATGTATCTGGGACATGAGTCAGTCACATGTCTGGGTTCATGTGTCTGAGTCATGTGTCTATCTGGGTTTATATGTCTGGGACACCTGTCTGGGACATGCATCTGGGACATGTGTCTGGGACATGTGTCTGGGTCGTCTGGGACATGTGTCTGGGTCCATGTGTCTCTCTGGGTTCATATGTCAGGGACATGTATCTGGGACATGTGTCAGTCATGTGTCTGGGTCCATGTGTCTGGGTCATGTGTCTGGGACATGTGTCTGTCTGGGTTCATATGTCAGGGACATGTATCTGGGACATGTGTCAGTCACGTGTTTGGGTCATGTGTGACCTGTGTCTGAGTCATGTGTCTGTCTGGGTTCATATGTCTAGGACACCTGTCTGGGACATGCATCTGGGTCATGTATCTGGGACATGTGTCAGTTATGTGTGGGATATGTGTCTGGGTCATGTTGTCTGTTTGGGTTCATATGTCTGGGACATGTGTCTAGGTCCATGTGTCTGGGTTACATGTCTGGGTCATGTGTCTGGGTCCATGTATCTGGGTCATGTATCTGGGACACGTGTCTGGGACATGTGTCTGGGTATGTTTCTGTCTGGGTTCATATGTCTGGGTCATGTGTCTGGGACACATGTCTGGGTCATGTATCTGGGACATGTGTCTGGGTCCATGTGTCTGGGTCATGTGTCTGGGACATGTGTCTGTCTGGGTTCATATGTCAGGGACATGTATCTGGGACATGTGTCAGTCACGTGTTTGGGTCATGTGTGACCTGTGTCTGAGTCATGTGTCTGTCTGGGTTCATATGTCTAGGACACCTGTCTGGGACATGCATCTGGGTCATGTATCTGGGACATGTGTCAGTTATGTGTGGGATATGTGTCTGGGTCATGTTGTCTGTTTGGGTTCATATGTCTGGGACACATGTCTGGGTCATGTGTCTGGGTTCATATGTCTGGGACATGTGTCTAGGTCCATGTGTCTGGGTCATGTATCTGGGACATGTGTCTGGGACATGTGTCTGAGTCATGTGCCTGGGTCATGTGTCTGTCTGGGTTCATATGTCTGGGACATGTGTCTAGGTCCATGTGTCTGGGACATGTGTCTGGGTCCATGTGCCTGGGTCATGTTGTCTGTCTGGGTTCATATGTCTGGGACACATGTCTGGGACATGTGTCTGGGTTCATATGTCTGGGACATGTGTCTAGGTCCATGTGTCTGGGTTATGTGTCTGGGTCATGTGTCTGGGACATGTATCTGGGTCACGTATCTGGGACACATGTCTGGGATATGTATCTGGGTATGTGTCGTCTGGGTTCATATGTCTGGGACATGTGTCTAGGTCCATGTGTCTGGGACAGGTGTCTGGGTTACGTGTCTGGGACACATGTCTGGATCCATGTGTCTGGGATATGTGTCTGGGTCATGTTGTCTGTCTGGGTTCATATGTCTGGGACACATGTCTGGGTCATGTGTCTGGGTTCATATGTCTGGGACATGTGTCTAGGTCCATGTTTATGGGTTACGTGTCTGGGTCATGTGTCTGGGACATGTATCTGGGACATGTGTCTAAGTCCATGTGTCTGGGACACATGTCTGGATTACATGTCTGGGTCATGTGTCTGGGTCACATATCTGGGTCTGTGTGTTTGGGTCATGTGTCTGGGTCATGTGGGACTTGTGTCTGGGACACATGTCTGGGTTATGTGTTTGGGTCATGTGTCTGGGTTATGTGTCTGGGTTCATATGTCAGGGACATGTATCTGGGACATGTGTCTGGGTCCATGTGTCTGGGTCATGTGTCTGTCTGGTTCATATGTCTGGGACACATGTCTGGGTCATGTGTCAGTCATCTGTCTGGGTCCATGTGTCTGGGACATGTGTCTGGGTTACGTGTCTGGGTCCGTGTATCTGAGACATGTGTCGGGGGCATGTGTCTGGGTCATGTGGGACGTGTCTGGGTCATGTGTCTGGGACATGTGTCTGGGTCCATGTGTCTGGGTCATGTGTCTGTCTGGGTTCATATGTCAGGGACATGTATCTGGGACATGTGTCAGTCACATGTCTGGGTCCGTGTGTCTGGGTCACATATCTGGTTCCGTGTGTCTGGGTCATGTGTCTGGGACATGTGTCTGGGTCCATGTGTCTGGGTCATGTGTCTGTCTGGGTTCATATGTCAGGGACGTGTCTGGGTCCGTGTGTCTGGGTCACATATCTGGTTCCGTGTGTCTGGGTCATGTGTCTGGGACATGTGTCTGGGTCATGTGGGACATGTGTCCAGGACACGTGTCTGGGTCCATGTGTCTGGGTCATGTGTCTGGGTCGTCTGGGACACGTGTCTGGAACATAGCATGCTGGGTCCATGCATCTCCTTGACGAGGCCAGTAGGCAGGCACTCATGTTGCTCTGCACAGCGGCCCTGTTTTCAGGCCTGGGTCCCCTGGGGCCCTCTTGGAATGAGGATGGCGAGATGGAGACCAGAGGCATTGTGGTCGGGGAAGGGGCTGAGAGTCCTGGATAGCAGAGCTCGAGGTGACTGAGAGGGCCTCTGAGCGCCCATGCTCAGGGTCGGCTCGAGGGGGAGCAGGTTGGATCTTGGGCCTGAAACCAGAGACCCCAGGGCTGCCCAGGGCGTGGAGAGGACTGCCCAGCCTCAGCAGACACGGGGAAGAGGGATAGCCAGCAGCGGGAGAGCCTGCCCCCACTCCAGCTCTGTGTTAGCCGGGGGGGCCGCCCCTTCTCTCGGGTCACATGGAACCCCCACCCCACCCCACCCTACCCCTCATGGCCGGGTGCCGTCTCGGGAGGGCCGGGAGCTCAGGTCTTGGAGGCGCCTGTGTCCCCTGCTGAGGGCGCAGACACTCACCTCCCTCCCCGCGGCTTGTCTCGCTGCAGAGCGGCCCCTGAGCATGAGCTTCCCCCTCTCCTCCGCCCGCTTCTCGAGCAGCGCCTTCTCGTCCGTCTTCCACAGCATCAACCCCTCGGCCTTCAGGAAGCAGAGGAAAGTCCCATCGGCCCTGACCGAGGTGAGGCGGGTATAGGGCTGCCTGCCTGGGGGCCAGGGGGATTTAGAAGGTTCTGGGTCCTCAGACCCCCCGCCCCAGCCAGACCAGGCTCTTGCGGACACGTTAGAGAGCATCCCTCACGGGGGGCGTTCTGGCTCATGCTCACAAAGGCCGCCCTGAAGCACAGGCTAGGCTGTCTCCTGGGCGTGGCAGAGAACAGGAGCCAGAGTAGGTGTCGGAGGTGCAGGGATAGACCCATCTCCAGGTGCACACAGCGCTGCAGCACTCGGGGCTAAAGCCGCTCGGCCTGACTCAGCCCTCCCGAGTCTGGCCCTCAGGCCACATCCCTGTCTCATCCTGGGGATCCCACACAGGCTCAGGCGGTGAGCCTCCTCAAGGCCGTAGGACTCTTTGCAGGAAACCTCAGAATTAGCCCAACTCAATTCCTTTCTGCAGGCAGAACCAGATTATTGACTGTATTCTTTTTTTTAATGGACTGTATCCTAATCATAGCCACAAACAAATATGTGCTCGTGAACATACAACCTGTCAAAAGAAGTGTGAGCAGCTGTTACCAAGTATTTTGAAATATTAATTATTGGATAGCAGGTGGCAAGGGTTCAAAAAGTGTTAGGGATGAAAATTTTAAGTGAGTATGGTTCTATCCATTAGCTTAATTCCTTTTGCATCTTAAAAATCTTGGAAGTAACACGTAACGAATTTTTTTTCAAAAACACAGAAGAATATGTGATGGGAATTGAGTTTCTCTCCCTCCCTCCCCAGACTCCTTCAGTTCCACCCCTTAAAGCTAATTGCCATCAGATTTCTTACAGATCCTTCCAAAAATATTTGGATCCTTCCAAAAATAAAAATATTTATGCATATACATAATAAAGACAGACGATCATAGATCCTTTAACTCAAAAGATGATACTCTGAATCTTCTATACATTTCTTTCATTTATCTTTGATATTATTTCACATTAGTTTGTCCACATAAACCTCACACTTCTTACACTGTATGGCTGTCTCGTCATTTAACTAGTCCCCTCGCACAAATTGAGTAAAGACCGCCCTCTCACTCCCACAGCTGTGTCGACATGAGCTGAACTCACGGAACCTGAGTGTGCCATGGGTACAGAGTTTGAGAACCACTGTTCTCACCTTTCAGACATCAGGCCACTGTGATCCAGGTGCCGTGTGGACCTGCCCCAAGCCATGTTGACAGGTTTTGCCCAAAGTGACAACCTTTTTATTAACACGGACTACACCGTGGGCTCCGCAGCAGCCCGGGAGAAAAGTGCCCCCATCTCCCGCCACCCTCTCCCTCGCCCCCAGGAGCCCCACCCAGGCATTGAGACCTGCTTCCCAGGGGAAGGCCTGCAGGAGTGCTGCTCCGGGAGCATCTGATGGGGGGCAGATCGCAGACTCGGAGCTGCTCCGGCAGGTCAGGTGTGGGGAGAGGAGGCGTGTCTGAGTTAGGGGGGTCCTGGGAACCCGAGGGGCAGGTTCCTTTCCCAGTACTTTTCAAAACACCTGGCTGGCTGTAGTTTTGTCTCCCTTACACTGGAGTTGTCATGACCTCGAGAACATTTGCTGAGAGCTCTTGAGTTCTGGCCCTCTCTTCAACTAAGTCGGGATTTCACCTTTGGTAGATAACCGCCGCCCCCCCCCCTGCCGCCCCCAGTTCCTCTGGGCCTCAGTTTCCCCACCTGTGAACTGAGAAAGTCAGATGAAATTATTGCATAACCCGGCCTTCTTGCTGTTGTATTAAGGTGAATGTTTATGGAGCACTTAACTGTGGGCAGGCACTGATGTCATTTGATTCCAGTTTTAACTAGTCAGGATGCTGAGACCTAGAGGAAGTAAGTGGTCTCACATCACCCCTCTGGTGGCCACTAGAGTCTGTGTTGGAACCCGAGACGGGTCTTACTCCAGGCCTGTGATCTTAGCCCCTGTGAGAGGCTTGTTCAGAAGACCACACCATTGATACTACTAAAAGAAAGCGAAGTCGCTCAGTCGTGTCCACACTCTGTGACTCCATGGATTGTAGCCTGCCAGGCTCCTCCGTCCGAGGGATTCTCCAGACAAGAGTACTGGAGTGGGTGTCCATTTCCTTCTCTAGGGGATCTTCCCAACCCAGGGATCACGCCCGGGTCTCCCGCACTGCAGGCAGACGCTTTACCCTCTAAGCCACCAGGGCGCCCTGATACTACTAACAGGAGTTAACAAACTCACTAGGCAGACCATACAACCTTTTAGGGAAACAATTAAAAAAAGAAAGGACCCCCTCTTAAAATGTAAGAAAAAAGTAAGCTGAGAAGCGTAAGAATCAATTGTATGAGGAAGAAACTTTCACCCAGGTAGACACGTGCAGTTGTGAGATTTGGGGTCTTGAGGAGGCGAGAACCAGGAATCTGACTCACCGCCAGAGGGCAGCACTCCTGCAGGCAGCTGTCGATTCCCGCGTCTCGGGTCCCTTCAGTCGATCCTGTCTCTCAAACACGGTCCTGTCGTGCGGCCTTTGAGGGGCCGGATGCACCCAAGCGCCCCGACTCCAGAGCGGCACGGACGCCCCGCCGGCCGCTTGGCAGTGCCGTTTTGGCTCCGTCGGAAGCGTGTCCTTCCGCCCCGGGAGCCTTGACCGCCCCGCTTCCTTCCCTCCGCCAGGTGGCCGCCTCGGGAGAGGGCTCCGCCATCAGCGGCTACCTCAGCCGGTGTAAGAAGGGCAAGAGGCACTGGAAGAAGCTCTGGTTCGTCATCCAAGGCAAAGTGCTGTACACCTACGCGGCCCGTGAGGTAGCGTGGTCCCGCCTTCTCTCCTGTCCCCTGGGGGCCGGGGGGTGAAGCCTCGCCTCACACCGGCCGTGTGGGCCCGAGGGCGCCGCGAGGCCTGCGTCTGGCTCCCGCCTTAGGTGCCGCGTCGGTCAGGCCTTCTCTGAGGGCCGCCGTGCGGATGCTCCGCCACGCGTCTGTCTCAGCTCCGAGGAACCGGCCGTTGCCTTGTGGGCCCAGGCGGCTCAGCGGGCAGGGCCGGTGCCGCGAGGCCTTGGCACGTCCCCGGGGCGCTGCCTGCAAGAGAGCTCCTTCCTCTCTGCCCTCCGCTTCCGTCCGGGACGGAACCCAAGAGCCTGGGGAAGCCTCTGTGTCCGTGCATCGGTCAGGGAAGTGTATTGCCTCGTGCATGGCAGCTCTTCTACCGAAGAAGCCCGACGTTCATGTGTATCACAACATCTAGACTTTCACCTGCGAAAACACGGCGGGGAGAGCCTTGTCCCCCCTTCCGCAGTGGACAGGTGTGAGCGGGGCTGCGCGGCAGGGGGCGCTCTGGTCCCGGCTCGGGCTCACAGGATGAGCGCCTCACCTCAGGGCGGGCCCTTCTCCCCTGACCACGCATGTGGCAGAAGGCACGTCCCCTCGGGCGCATAAAGCTCCCTCCGGACCTGCAGCTGGGGCGGCTGCGGTCAGCCCCGTCGTCCAGGATCCCAGACGCATAGAGGGGACCAACCCGCCCCCCGAGGGGGGCCTTTCACGTGGCTCACGGGGCCTCACAGGGAGGCTCTCTGGGCTGAGGAGCCTGTGGGTCTTTCCAGAACAAACTGAAATGTGCTGCAGCCCATTGCGCATCTTCCTAAGTAGACGTTCCACAGGACACCCACAGCGGCGGGGGGACCCTCTGAGACGTGGGTTCTGACAGAACTGAGTGGACAGTTTGTAAGACTTCCTCACAGCAGTGCTTTTGAGGGGGGTGCACAAGGGTGTGTTTTGGGTCCCCGAGGTGTGGAGAGTGCCCAGCTGTCCTGAGAGCAGGCCCTTCCTCCGCAGAGCATCTCATGGAAAACACACTTGGGGAACAAAAGCTGTTGACAGGTAACCACCCATCAGAGTGTGGATCCTGTCTGAGAGCGGAAAAGCCAGAGGCTCTATGTCCTGAGTGACGGTTGTCATGGAAGTGACAGCGTGGGTTGGTTTTCAAAGATGCATTTCAGGATGCTTCCAAAGCCACTTCTTCAGAGAGAGGAACTTGTACAGTTGCTCAGTAAGCCTAAACCAGTGACAGGGCCAAGCTTTCAAATTCCATCAGAAGAAGGAGATTTGATAAAGTGAATGAGCAGATTTCTGCTGCCATGCACCCCAGTCATGTACCCTGAGGTAACTTGCTACTCAGTATCAGCCCTGGGAGAGAGTGCCTGTCAGAAATACATAGGAATCTTTTACATTTTTTTCCAATATTTTATTATGTAGTTAATATATTTATTATTATTACAAAACATTTCAAACATAAAGAAACATTGAAGGAATTTTGGTTATACAGTTAACATATTATTGTACTTAATCAAGTATCTGTTAGCCTCTCATCCATCTTGCTTTTTGATGCTTTTTAAGTGTAATTCCCCCTGAAAAGTGAAAGTCGCTCAGTGAAAGTGAAAGTCACTCGGTCCTGTCTGACTGTTCGAAACCCAGGCCAGAATACTGGAGTGGGTAGTTGTTTCCTTCTCCAGGGGATCTTCCCAACCCAGAGATTGAACCCAGGTCTCCCACACTGCAGGTGGATTCTTTACCAGCTGAGCCACCAGAGAAGCCCAGGAATACTGGCGTGGGTAGCCTGTCCCTTCTCCAGGGGATCTTCCCAACTCGGGAATCAAACCGAGGTCTCCTGCATTGCAGGCGGATTCTTTACTAACTGAGCTAATTGTCCCTAAGAGTTCAATATTTGTGTTTCTTTTTTTAAATTTTGAAGTACAACTTATATATGATAAAGTACAGCAATCTTGATACTATTTGTTAAGTTTTGACTAATGCATACCCCTGTAAATCCTTACCTCACCCCCATCCCCAGAGGCAACACACTGTGTTTTATTTTTTCCTACCATTATATTAGTTATATCTTTTAGATCTTCAGATAAATGGAATCATGGATGATTTCTTCCACTCAACACAATGTTTTTAAGAGTCATCCATATTGTTGCATGCAGTTGGTCATGCCCTTTTATGGCTGAGTAGTATTCCATTTTGTGAATATACCTCTTTGTTTATCCATTCACCAGTTGAAGGACATTTGAGTTGTTTCCAATTTGAGGTGATTATGAATAAAGCCAGTTTAAACTTTTGCATACAGGTTTTTGTGTGAAAATAGGTTTTTATTTTACCTTGGGTAAATACCTAGGAATGGAATTTCTGAATCACACAATATACACATGGTCTTTAAGAATTTAACGGGTAGTTTTCCAAAATGGTGTGGCGTTTTATAGTCTCTGCAACAATGTAGGTAAATTTGGGAGTTTTGTTTGCTCTACATTTGTGAGCACTTGGTATTGCCAGTCTTTAATTTTAGCCATTCTGGTGAAAGGGTAGTAGTATCTTAATGTGGTTTTAATTCTTTATAGTAAGCCTTGTGTAAGTCCTCCAGCTTTGTTCTTTTTAAAGGTTGTTTTGGGTCTTTTGTGTTTCCATATAAATGTGTCAATTTCTATAAAAATGTCTGTTAAGATTATGACAGGGATTATTGAATCTGTATATCAGTCTGGGGAGTGGGGAGAATTGACATCATAGCCATGTTGAATCTTCCAATCCATGAATAATCCATTTATTTAGTTCTTTAAATTCTATGCTTAATGTTTTGTACTTTTTAGTATAGAGGTTCTTATACTTCTCTCATTTCTGTCACCTTTATTCCTAGCTTTTATTTTTGGAGGCAGTTTTGAATGGAGTTTCACTGATGGTACAAAAATATTTTTAAAAAAGAATTAATTATCCTGTGACATCACTAGATTGATTATTAGTTCTACTAGTTGTTTTGTAATCAAACCTGTCCTTTTTAGGCACAGGTAGTTTTGCTTCTTTTCTGATCTTGATGTCTTCTGTTTCTTCTTCTTGTCTTAGCGCAATGGCTAGGGCCTCCAGAGCAGTGTTAAATTTACTTGGTAACGGGCAGTGCCCTCTTGCTTTGTCTCAGTCTTAGGGGAAAGGCATTAAGTAGTTCACTACTGGGTATGATGGTATTGGATATTTTATAGATGCCGTTTGTCAGATTAAGGAAGTTCCCTTCTGTTTATTTGTTGGCTGCGCTGCGTCTATTGTTGGCGCACGAGGGCTTTCTCTATTTGCAGTGAGCAGGGGCTGCTGTTCTTTGCAGTGAGCTGGATTCCGTGGCTTCTCGTGTTGCAGAGCCCAGGCTCTAGGCATGCGGGCTCAGTAGTTGTAGCACATGGGCATTGCTGCTCTGTGGCATGTGGAATCTTCCTGGAGCAGGCATCAAAGCCATGTCCCCTGCATTGGCGGGTGGATTCTTGTCCACTGTACCATTGGGAAGACCCAGGAAGTTTCCTTCTATTTCCTAGTTTGCTAAGAGTTTTTATCATGAGTGGATGTTGAATTTTGTCAAATGTTTTTTTCTGGTCCAGCAGTCTTAGAAAATTGATTGCCTTTTATACACAAATTTAACTCCCCCTTCTCTCCCACAGTCATTCTAATGTGCTTAACCATTTATCTCTCTTCATGTATGATCTTATTAAGTTGTATTCTTTATGAACGTGTATCTGTACATAAATATGGGTGTGTTTATTATAAAAAGTTCTTTACGTATATAAAGCTCTTTCTTTTTCCACCGATCTCCATGATTTTAAGATCTGTGTGCATTCTGTGGGTGCATCTCACCAAATTGTTACCAACTTTATTGAAGCACTGTGAAACAGACCGTGGGGGGCTGAGCACAGAATACATTAACAGGGGTAATGACAGTGGAAAGTCTGAGTCACTGACACACCAAATCAGTGGGAGGAATGCGGAGTTTCAGGTGTTCATGAGTTCCAACGCTGGCCCTGCCCCTTCCACGCTGTGTGATCTTGGGGCGTTGTTTACCTTCCCTGAGCCTCAGTTTCTTCTTAGCATGGGGCTGACACCTTTCGTGACCGTCATGAAGACTAAGCAAGATAGTGTGGAAGTCCCAGGACTCTGTAAACGTGGCCGCAGAATGTTAAGTCTCTCTTCCTCCTCGTGACTGGTGCTGGCAGGAAGTAAGGGTGGAGAGCGTGGATGCTGAGCTCTCGGTGTGTTTAACGTCCGTTTCCCCTCTGCCTCTCTGCAGGACACAGTGGCCTTGGAGAGTATGCCCCTGCTCGGCTTCACCATTGCGCCAGGCAAGGAGGAAGGCAGCAGTGAAGCCGGACCTACTTTTCATCTTTATCACAAGAAGACCCTATTTTATAGCTTCAAAGCCGAGGATAGTAATTCGGCTCAGAGGTACCAAAATGATTAGTCCTGCATTTCCCCGTCCCCCCTCTCAGAAAGGAACCAGCTGTCACCGTGGGCTTTGGCTTCTGTTCTTCTCCGGCTCTCCTGTCCTGTCAGGTTCCCTTGGGCCACAGCAGAAGAGCGGATTGAAATTCCCAGGCAGACCTCAGACAGACTGTGGGTGGGGTTCCGGACCAGGGGATGAAGCGCATGTGGCAGTCGAGGGAGTCCCAAGCTTTTGGGTTTCCCAGTGCATACACAAGTTACGTTTATCCTGTAGTCTATTAACTGTGCAGTCGCGTTATGTCTACAAAAGTGTGCGTTCCTTAACTGGAAAATACTTTATTGCTAAAAGTACTAACCATCATCTGAGCCCCTTCAGAAGTCATAATCTTTTTGGGGTAGTAACAACAAAGACCACTGGTCACAGATCACCACAACAAATCGACTGACGATGGAGAAGTCTGAAATACGGTGAGAACTGCCAAAATGTGACGCAGACACACAAAGTGAGCAAATACTGTTGGGGAAGGGTGCTGCTTGCTAGACATGCTGGACACAGGGTTTCCACAAACCTTCCAACTTAGAATGCAGTGTCTCTGAGCACAGGAAAGCAAAGCATGATAAAGCAGGGTCTGCCTGTATTATGACTCATCCATACAGGGGTGCACTGATTCAGCAGCTGTGCACTGCACTCCGGGCCTTTTGCTAGATGCGAGGGAAACAAACAGAATAGGACCTGGTCGCTCACCTTGGATTAATGATACTGTTGTCTCATCACTCTTGGGTTCCATGACCAGAGTTCCAGGCAGAACCTCCACACCAAGTGTCTCCGCTCTTGTGTGTTGCAGGTGGATCGAGGCCATGGAAGACGCAAGTGTGTTATAGCAGTTACCTAGCATGTGGACTCAGAGGACACTCTTAGGTTGACATGTGGACCCTTCTAGAAGCCGCTCCGTGTCGCCACCCGTCCGGCACACACCTGGGTTCAGCATGGGGCCTGGCCTTTTCGGCCGTCACCCCTCCTTCACACCTTCACAAGTGGACCCGTTAAGGGATATTTATGGACCTTTTCTGTCTCCGTGTTGTCCACCCTCCCCACTCCAGCGTTAACTATTTCCCTTTCCAGTAGTGCGTTAAAATTTAGTGACACGAGGACGTGGAAACCAGTAGAGAAGTACGTTGTAGAACTGCAGGCTTCTTAGTGGAAACAAGCTTTTACAGTTTTTTTTTTTTCACTCCTGGTAAACATGATCGCCTTTCATGTCATTGATGTCGGTGCCTCAGGTGAAATGAAAAACAACCAGTAGATAACAGCTACTGTCATCAAAAAGCACTTTATTGTTTTCCTGAGCAGCAACCTCCGGTTTGATTTTTTTCCCCCAAGGGACTTCCATAAGTCAGCGGTAGGTGGAGCCCTGTGGATTTATTTGCCACCAGCCCTGGCTGTGGTGGACCAGCAGGTGACGCCGGGAGGCCCCCTGGCCTCGGAGGGCTCAGGGCCAGGAAACCCTGGGAGCAGAAGCGGAGGACTGTCTCCTCCAAGCGACCACTCACCCTGCAGACCGCCGCAGCTTCCTAAAGGAGGAAACTGCCTCCTCCCTATAGCGGTCCTGACACCTCACCAGTGCTGGAAACTCGGCTGCTGCCAGACCCGGTCCCCACCCTGGAGGTCACCACAGACCCTCCTGAGAGATGGGCTCTGCTTTAATTTATTGTGTGCCTTCCTGAGTTTACCCCGCACAGGCCGACAGCGATATGCTTGTGAGAACTGCCCTTGCTTTCGACATCGTGATCCTTCTGCTGTATTCCTGAAGCCTTGAAAGAGAGGGAAGGAGAGAAGACAAGATGCGATGGGAAGGTGAATTCGTGGTGTTGGCCAGTGGCTCTGGACACAGTTGAGGGAGGCCTAGAATTGTGGCTTGAAGATGCCCTGTGGGCGCCTGGGGCTTGGTCCCTTCCCGCTGATGACTGCTCACGATGCTGGACGTGTTTTTACATAAAGCAGAGTGGCGGGGGGCCTCCTTGTTACTGTCATCGAAATAAAAAACAGTCATATCATTTTCTGATGTCTTGTCCCCACCTTCCTGTTCCCCTGTTCCTTAAAAAAAAAAAAGGCAGTTGCTGAACATTTTATAAAAAGCACCATCTCCAGGAATTAACTTACATTAAATATTTTCAGGGGAATTTTTTTTTTTCTAGTTTGCAGTTCTTTAAAATATGTTTGGTTAAACATTTTGAGGACCCAGACTAAGTGATAAGAGAGGTCTTCTTGTTAATTTTTGAGGACTTAATTCCCGTGGAATCATTTTCATCATCGGACCTATTGAGATGGGCCTTTTAGACTCTGAGCCTTTGAAAAGCACAGCAAGGGACTTCCTTGGTGGTCCAGTGGCTAAGGCTCCACACTTTCAATCCAGGGGCCTGGGTTCAATCCCAGGTCAGGGAACCAGATCCCATATGTTGCAGCTAAGGGTTTGAATGCCACACCTGCAGGCTGCAACAAAGCTCTTAAGGTCCTGCCTGTACAGCTAAGGCCTAGTGCAGCCAAATAAATCATTTTTTAAATTTTAATTAATTTTTAATTTAATTTATATTTAATTAATATATATATATTTTTTAAGTGCAGCAAGACTTCAGCAAGAGGAAGCAGGCACTTTCCCAGCCTGCCTGTGCTGTGGCCCATTGTCAGTTTCTGAGCTCCAGGTAGAATTGTGTGTCCGGAAGTCCGGTGAAGGTTTCTTTCCCCAAGTAACATCCTATTTCTGGTACTCTAAAGGAGCTGTGACAGGGTTTTTCTTCTCGGTGAATAGTTGCCCCCGATAGAATCCCGGGTTGTTGATAGAACATATCGGATGGGTCTTGTAAGAGGAGGGAGCCAGAGAGGTCTTCCACAGTTCCTGCGTGTTGGGGCCACGACCTGCCTGGTTACCTGGGTCTTGTTTTCACCTGTGCACCCCCTGGTTCTGGGAGGACTCATTTCCTCCAATCTCTTCTGGCCCACGTTGCTCGTTGTCCCTCACCCGCCCCCTTCTCTGTCCGACTTGCCTTACGTGTTTGTGTCACTGTCTGCCCACTGGGCGAGTCGGGAGTAGCTCAGAGGAAGCCGCCCCCCTGGCTGATGGCGCTTTTTCTCCCTGGGCCGGGAGGTTGCAGGAGCAGCCGCCCACGGCCCCACAATTTACTGCTTCTCCGCCTGCGCCCCGGGGGCACTGGGCAGCCCCTCCTGCATGTCCCCAGCAGAGTGCATTTCTAGGGAGGAGGCAGTGCTGTGACCCAGAAGCCAGCGGCCCGGAGTCCCGGGGCCTTCACCTGTCATCCGGAGACCCTCCCGGCCCCCCAGAGCGTTCAGCGCACACCGGCTGTTTGTCAAAGCACACTGCAGGCCCTGGCCCTCGAGAGCAGGTAGCACTCCCTTTAACTGCGGTGGTTTCACAGCTTTCCTGAGACTGGGTGTGTCTCTCCAGCCTGGACGGGGCCTCATCAGCAGGATGAAGTGTGATTGTCATCACTGACGCGGCACACACGGGCACACGGGAGAGTCCAGGATGGTGATTGAGGTCCCAGGTCCCCATAATGAAGCTTCTGGGTGTCAGGAATCCGCTCTGAGTTGCTCTGCTCAGGCTGGCAGACTCCCCTGGACACAGCCCGGGCTGGGGAGGCGTGGGGGTGACGCCCAGGGGGTGTCGGGGTGTGCACCATGCGCTGGGACTGAGGTGTGCTAGTCGGAGTCCTTTCTCCGTCTAGTCCAGCCTCTCGTTTGATTGATAGGGGGAATGGCATCGCTGAACACTGAGGCCATAAATGGGGACGAGGCCACCTGGGCTGGGAGTGGTGGGAGCAGATGGAGCCCAGCTCTCTCTCTGCCTTGGGACAAAGTCAACATTCTGGAAGACTCTTCCATTCATGGCTTCAGCCTGGGGTATGCGGCCTCTGTGAGCAGGGGGGCTTCCTTGCTTCCACGTGTTAACTGTCAGTTGAGGGGACAACTGTGCCCACACTAAGATGTCTGTTTTTCAACAGCAAAGAAAAGGAAACCAGCTTCACGCTGCATTAGACAGCTAGGAGATCCACTCAATGAGAGGATGTGGGAAAAAGGGGTGGGTTCAGGGCTGGACAGTGTCTCCCAAGCTCCAGACTCTTTGGGTTTCTCTGACCTACAGTCCGTTGTCAGCTTGATTCCAATGCTGGTTCCCAAGAGGCTGACCGCTGACCACCCCCAGTGGTGGGGGCTGTAGCTTTTTCTTAGAAGCCCTGAGCGAGCCCTGCACACAGCTGCCGGACACTTAGTGAGCTGGTCATGGTGAAGGGCACCAAGGTGGCCCCATAGACCAGTCAGCTGGGGGAAAAGGAGGGGGGTGGGCCGGCTGCTGGGGACTCACCCCCAGTGGCCACTCTCTGGACCACATTTTTTGAAAAGACTGTGGTTTGGATTAGTGCAGTGCAAGGGCTGTGCCTTGCTGTGAATTTGGGGTATGTTTTGTGGGAAAGTAACTTACATAAGTGTTATTGGGGCATCTGTTACATATATTGCTGAAGGTATTACTTTAAGTGACTTTGGGGAGGCTGGTTTGATGTTACTGGTATTTTAAGCCCCTAGTCAATTACTAAATCAGCAGCCAACAGCACTGACCTCTCACGAGCTCCTAGGAGACCTTTGTGTGATTATTAACAACAAATAATAAATAGCAAGCATCTCAGCATGAAGGACTCTAAGCACCTTAACCCCGCTCCTCCATTTATTTGTCCCAAAGATGTCGAGGTGAGTTCTTATTATCTCCATTTTGCAGATGAGGAAACTGGGAATAGAAACCTTGTGTCACAAGCCTGGAGTCACACACTTGAGATCGGGAAACCTGTGCTTATTACTGCTCCCCTATAGTGTCTCTGTTCAACGTATGTGAGCTGATACTCTGAGTTATTAATATTTTCTCAGACTTGCAATGTGAAGTCCCTCCTAAAATCAACAGAAAACTCTGACTGCTGTGGACCATTCAGTAGGACCTTTTCCCCAAAGTCATAACACACACAAGGTGCATTTCTTTATCCAACCATGTACATAATCCAGTGTTATTTCAGTATTCTAATTGCAACGATGAATACAGTTCTGTTTTTCTGCAATCATGCACAAGGTTTGCTTCAACTTAAGCTGGGGTATTTAAAATCCAACTTAATATTTTAAATCAAAAGTACATATGCTTTAAAAAGTGTTAACATCTCATGCTTCTAGTGTGATTCAGTTGACATGTTAGGAGGAACACTCACATACGAAGGATTTTTTTTTTTTTACATATGAAGGTTTTTTAAGGCAAGTGATCCTGGGAATTCACCACATGTTTCTCACATAATGGAATAGATTAGAATTTCTAAGATATATTTCTAAATAATAATAACCTAGAAATTGATCAGTTACTTGCTATTCTTGAACCCTTTGTGAATTTGTATCCTCTGGTGAAGTCATGTCCTGTGAGAATGGACAGGTCTTATTTTGGGGTGGAAGCCATCATACCCTTGCCACTCCAGTTCCCAGGGGGAGAGAACACCTCTGTGTCCTGGGGGGTCATGTCCCAAGGGACGGGGTTATGTCCAGAAATGAAACGAAGCGGGGCAGAGCCGGGGGCCTGTCAGTCATGTGAAGGCAGAGCAGCGTTGTCGGGGCGACCACTCTACAACATGCTGCAGAGCCTGGGCCACTTTACCGAGGCTGCCCCCCTTGGGGCGCAGCGGGTAACATCGGAGGCGGAGCCAGCCCAGGGGACAGCTGTGGAGGTTCTGTGGCCTGAGACGGCCAGCGTGGAGTTCATCCCCACCTTGCCTGCGTGGCCTTGGGCTCCTCCCGTGGCTCACCCCTCTCCTCTGGGGTTCCCTTCTCTGGGTCTACAAGTGCCCTCGGGACACTGTGGATGTGCAGGCTGGAGATCTGGGCTTGGGAGGGTCTGCGAAGGTGTTCAGAGTCAAAGCTTGGTCTGTGGGCAGTGACCCCAGGTTGTGGCCAGACTTGGAGTTGGCAGTGGATAGTCAGATTCTGAGCCAAAGAGGAGACCCAAGGGCATCTGGAATGATGTGTTAGCAATGAGGGCTGTCACTGGTACCATGATGGGACCTCACGGCACCTTTTAGAATGCGACAGCGTGCTAGACGATCTCAGGAGAAATACACAGCCGAGGCGGTGGACATCGGAGGGGAAGCCAGCTCAGACCCGGGACTGTGGAGCCAGTGCCTGGCACGGCAACATCCCCTTCCACGGAACTCTCAGAAGTTTAATGCCCTGTGCCCGCCCTCACAGCATCCTGGTTTTCATGGAGTGATTTTGCAGACATGCTGTCTACATGGCCAGGGTCTCTCCTGTGGACAGGTGATTGATGATGTCTTACAGGAAAGGGTGTTCTGTGTTGGCAGAGCAGAGTGACAGGTCTCTTCCCTGTGCTGACCACCTTTCCAGGGTGATGTTGTAACAGTGTGGCGAGCGAAAGAGAAGCTTGGACAAGAGAAAATCTGTATTCAGAAAGCACAAAGCAGAAAAGAAAGGGCGGAAAAAAGCACCATAAATGAAGTTTCTTTTTCCTTGTTTTTCAAACTCTGAGAGTGAGTTACAAATCAGTGTCATGGATCACAACCAGGACCCCACCCTGCCTCACACAACAGAGAGCGAAGTAGAAGGCAGCAGGATAGTCCATCATCACCAGGGACCAGATTCATGACATTTTTGTTTTAATCATATGTGTATGTATATATATATATTTATATACTATGTACATATATACTACGTATATATGTGGCTTCTCAGGTGCTGCTAATGGTAAAGAACCCACCTGCCGATACAAAAGATGTAAGAGACAGGGTTGAGTCCTTGACTTGGGAAGACCCCTGGAGGAGGACATAGCAGCCCGCTGCAGTAGTCTTGGCTGGAGAATCCCACGGACAGAGGAGCCTGGCGGGCTCACAGTCTACAGGGTTGCAAAGAGTCAGACACAACTGAAGCGACTAAGCACACATGCTATGTATGATGTGCTGCTTGTTGATGTAAAGTATATTTATACTTAATAGACCACGGTCAAAAAAA